CACAGACGCACAGACGCACAGACGCACAGACGCACAGACGCACAGACGCACAGACGCACAGACGCACAGACGCACAGACGCACACACGCACACACGCACACACGCACACACGCACACACACACACGCACACACACAACACACACACAACACACAACACACAACACACAACACACCACACACCACACACCACACACAACACACAACACACAACACACAAGACACAACACACAACACACAACACACAACACACACACACACACGTTTCGGCACACCTCTCACACGTTCCGTGGCCCCATAGGGAGCTCCACCGAAAGTCCCACTGGGAACGCCTGCAGGCGTCCGCCACACTCATTTCGGCACACTCCTCACACGTTTTGTGACGCTTCGTTGCCTTATGGCGAGCTCCACCGAATGCCACAGTGCCGCCGACCGCATGAGTCACGCACACCCATTTCGGCAGACCCCTTACAAGTTTCGTGGCCCCATAGGGAGCTCCACTGGAGGTCCCAGCCACCGCCCGCATGCGTCCGCCTCACCCACGTCGGCACACGCCTCACATGTTTCGTGGCCCCACGGGGAGCTCCACCGAAGACGGTATTTACAAATGCGGTTCTCACAACTGCATATGGTTGGGTACTTCGCCAGGCATTTTTTTTGGGGGGTTGTCTTTTATCGCAGTCAAACATTTTCGCCTGGTGTTGGGCCCTGGAGCCATCACTGATCGATCCGGCTCGAAAAACTGCCGCAGAGAGATGGGGTCCAGGGCTTTAGGTCGCGCTCCTTCACGATGCCGCAAGTCCCACCGCGACGTCGGATCTCCGGGGAGCCCCGGGCGAGCACGGGGGGGCACCGCGTGCGGGACGACGGGTGGGCACCCGCCAGCACGGGACCCTGTGGGCGGGACCTCGCCGCCAGCCCCGATTTCTGGGCGTGCGATCCGCAGTCACCGCCAGGGCAGCAGCGGTCGCAGGGTGGAAGTGGCCGGATCTTTGCGCGCGTGCGTGTGATCGTGTGACCGTGTGCGGGTATCATGGTCCCCGCTGCTCTTGTGCACGACACGGGGTGCGCGAATCCGTCACGTAGGCATTCGGAACAACCCATGGGCACCCGACCCGAATTGCATATCGGCATCTTGCCCTTGCCTCAATATTGGCAAGGGCTTTGCACTATGGTCTCGGAACTCATCTTGACGGTGTGCTCAATTCTGACTTCTCGTTGAAGGGAGCCCCCCTGTACGAAGAGAGAAAAAGAAAGAGAGAGAGGGAGAGACAGAGAGGGGGGGGGGGAAAGAGAGAGAGAGAGAGAGAGACAGAGACAGGGAGAGGGGGGAGAGACTGATAGAGGAACTCTCGTGGAATAGCCGCAACCGCACGCTGCAAGGTTGCGGCAAGAACTGGGAAATAACGCATTGCAGAAGTGTAGCGGCCGGCTGCGGGAGGAGCCCTGCTCGTTCTGAGTATCTCGAACGCGATCGGCCCAAACCATCCTTATCCACTGCATGGGATCTTACCCTGTGCTTTTGCCCTCGGATTTTATGCTCGCCAAGCAGCTGTCAGGAAACACCTCTCGTCGAGCTAAACCTTCACGCTGAACACATAAAACAAGGGACGCCCAGGGGGACGTACGTAAACAAATGACAGTAAACAGCTGGTACCTACGTCGGCAACACATAATCCCACCAGCGCTCTGGGCGTATGTGGTTTAACGAATTTTGTCTTCTCCCTGCCAAAACCTTCCCTTCCCCTACCCACTCCCCTGGGTCTGGACGGGGCGCCCCGAGAGGGGTTAGAGCGTCCAACATGGCCCAAGATCGCTCCAAGAGGGCCTTAAAGAGTGCAAGATGGTCACCAGAATGACCCAAAATACCTCAAGACAGCTCAATATAGCCTCCGACAAACATCCAAGAGGCATCAAGACGGCCCCAAAACGGTTTCAAGTGCCCTCCGAGGCCTCCAAGGACCCGCCCAAGAGACCAGAGTGCCTCCCAAACCCAAGGAACATCAATGCTTTTGGCCTTCTCGCTTTTTCGCTTTCGACTGGCTCTTGAGGCCTCCAGGTAGCCCCACGACGGCCCCAGAGAGTCCGAAGAGGGGTCCAAGAGGACCCCAAGAGCGCCCAAGAGCGCTCCGAGAGCTCTTGAAGATGGCCCCAAGACGCCATTTTTGAGCCTCCCAGGTGGGGGGGGGCAACGTTTCCTACCCCCCGCCCTTCTGTTTGAGTCATGGGAGCCAAGGGGCCTCGCACACCCCTCCAATGAGCCCCAAGAGGGCCCCAAGACCACCAAAATTAGCCCCACGAGGGACCCCCAGAGTGCCCCAAGAGGCCCCACGGATGCCCTAAGAGAGCCCCCTAACATGGCCTTCGTCGTCCATCAAGCAGCTCTCACAACAACATACCTCCAAAGCCCGACTTCCCATCCTCCTTGTCATCGTCCGTTCCTTAACTTCTCCTTTCCTGCCTCCTGCCTCCTCCTCCTCATCCTCCCCATGTTCCTCGAGCCGCATTCTTCCTCCTCCTCCTCCTCCTACTTCTCCTCCTCCTCGTCCTCCTCCTCCTCCTCCTCTTCGTCCCGCTCTTCCTCCTTCTCTCTTCTTCATGGTACTCCTCCTCCTCCTCCTCCTCCTCCCCCTCCTCCTCCTACTCCCAAGATGGCCCCAGGAGGTCAAGCATGGCTCATTATAGCCTCCGACAGACCTCCCAAAGGCCTAAAAACAGCCCCAAAACGGTCCAAGATAGCTGACCATGTCTCAAGATAACCTCCTGCACCCTCTAGCCTAACATGGCCCACTATAGCCTCCAAGATGCCTCACGCCAGCCTCCGATTGTGTCTGGATGAGCTGGAGGGGATAGGATAAATGTCAAGAATCGCAATACCGTGCTGGAGCTCTGTGGGTTTGCGCAAAGAAAACCACAGAACCGCTCGACCCCGCACATTGACTACCGACGATTTCTTTCGAGGCGCACCTCTCCGCAAGCTGGCAACCGAACGAACACCTGCCTTCTCACGCCCAAGTGTGCTCGTTGAGCCGCCTCCCCAACTGTCTTTTGAAGCATGGCCGTGCAACGTGCTGAATCGCCCCCCCCCCCCTCCACGACCAGCCAGCCCAAGCCTGTGGAGGCCGTACACTTCTGTAATTGTCCAAGGCAGGCGGCTCACGGCATTTCACAGCGCTAAACAATTCACAACGATGCATCAGCAGCGCGCTGAGGCGCTGTGGGCGCTGCAGCGGAGCTCCTGCATTGCATCGTGCTATCGCTGTCTGGCTACCAGCATGATTCATAACTTCTCTTCCTCCGCCTCTTTGTCCTCCACGTTCAACCCTCTTCTCTTCCGCCATATGGCCGGACGAGATGATAGACACCACATCAATCCATGTAGCATGTGCTGGCGAGCCGCTACATTCCGTCTGTTGCTCATGGGCAACTGTACTCTACTGATCGGTTCGGACCCGTGTTGAAGACCACAGCGACTCATGCTGCGTGCTGCTTGCGGCTGCTGCTCGTTGCTGCTGTTTGCTGCTTGCGGCTGCTGCTTGCTGTTTCCACTTGCTGCTCTAGTTGCGCGCCGATCTACTTGGCGATGCTGGCTGCCAGTGGACGCTGCCACTGCTGTTGCCGCAGGCCGCGGGATTCCTGTGCAAATCTGCACAAGATCTCGGAGAGCAAGATTGGCGGAGACGGGGCTCGGCGAACATAACGCGGAACGGAGCAGCATCGCCTCTGAGAGGACAAGCATGCTAGCGGCACGGAAGGGCGGATGCAACAGAATACGGCAGAACACAACATCTGAGGGGTTGCATGGGCAGCGCAACTGCCCGCGCGGCCCCGCGGCTTGATGCGTGCTGCTGTCGCGCGTTGCCACTTGCTGCTGAATTATGATGATTGCTGACGCTCGCTGCTGCGTGCAATTTCTTGCTGCTGCTTGCCGCTGCCTTCGGCTGTTCGCTGCCGGCAGCGGCGTCTTGCTGCTTTTTGCGGCTGCTCGCCGCTGTTAGCTGCCGATCACTGCCGTGTGTTGCTGTCTGCTGCGGCATGTTGCTTGTGATTGCTGCTGCCAAAAGCTGATGGCTGGCCGCTGATTGTCCCTTCCGTGTGCCGTCTCTGATGCTTCCCCTACTGCTGCTTGAAGGTCTTGAAGTCCGCCCGTCGGGCGGCGGGGGAGTTGGATCTAATGGGGACCTCTTGAGACACTCTGGAGTGCTCTTTGGATCACCTTGGACACTCGGGCTGCCCTGGGGTTGGGAACGGGTGTAGATGTCTTGGGGTCCCCTTTCGGGCAAGACGCGGGCCATCTTGGAACTAACTGGACGTTTCTTGGGTCGAACATTGGGTCCTTGCTTCGCTCTCGTGGGAACTGCCTTGGGGGCATCTTGGAGGCCGGCCTGGGCTGTCTGGGGTAATCTTGTGGAAGTCTCAGGCGCTCTTCTGCACTTTTTGGGCTCTCTTCCAGGCCTTCGTGGAGCCGTCTGGAACTGTAGAGTGGAGAAGACCAAACACGCCTGAAAGCCCACGCAAGAGTGACGATCTTCATCTCTTGGGGGCCTTGCACAGTGCCATCTTGGACGCACTTGGGGGAACGTGAACGCCATGTGGCTCTGTTTGGCGGCTGTGGGCGGCCCGGGCACGTCATGGTGGTCATTCGGTTGTGGCGCCCTCCTCACACGCTGGTGGAATAAACACTCCAAGACAGATGACATCGGGATACGGTTGTGCCTGTATCTCAATCGAGGCACTGAGGTCCGCTGCCACTTCCCGCCCAGAAGCGCCGTGCCCGAAAAGGTTCGGTTTCACTTTCGCCTCCCGCGCCTGGCCCATCGGCGCCACAGCAATGGCAACGAGATCGCCTAGACTGGCTTTGGAGCCCACTTGAGACGCTTCGCACAAGAAATGAAGCGCTGCGCTCTTCAGCTGTCCTCCTAACCCGATGGCCGATTCGAAAAAAATAAGCACCGTGGCCTGATTCTCGACGGAGGATTGACAACCGAAGGGTTCCTGCACCACGATGACCCCAACTTTCGTTTATCATCCACCCTTCCTCCGCCCTCCTACCTTTGGCCTCCTCCCTCCTCCCGCCTTCTTCATAGTCCCTCCCCCTGACACTTCTCTCCCAAATGCCGTCGCCCCTCCCTTCACACCCTTCGCTCCTCCCTCCCCTCATTTCCCGCCTCATCCCTCCCTTCTCTTCCTGCCCACCTTTCACCACTTGATCATGGATGTTGCGCTGTGGAATCGAAGCGCCCCCCTCTCCCCCTCCCTCCTCTTCGTCTTCCTCCTCTCCCTTCCCTTCTCCCCTCCTCTTCCTTCTCCTCCCCCTTCTTCCTCCGCCGCCTTCTCCTCCTCCTCTTCCTCCTCGTCGTCGTCGTCGTCCTCCTCCTCCTCACGTCCCAGCGTGCGCACCCGTGTGTGTGTGTGTGTGTGTGTGTGTGCGTGTGTGTGCGCGCATGAGTGAAAGAGAAGTGTATATATATATATAGAAAGAGAGAGAGAGAGAGAGAGAGAGAGAGAGAGAGAGAGAGAGAGAGAGAGAGAGAGAGAGAGAGAGAGAGAGAGAGAGAGATAGAGAGAGAGAGAGAGAGAGAAAGAGAGAGAGAGAGAGAGAAAGAGAGAGAGAGAGAGCGAGAGAGAGAGAGAGAGAAAAAGAGAGCAATATAACTACAGAGAGATAATCACTGTTTGCGTGAATTTTTTCCAAGAGTCCAGCGTCCACCACTAGACTGTGACCATCACCATGGCTGCGAGCGTCGCGTGGGCCGTAGTGATCCCTGGATAGGCTCCAGCCCGAGACGGCAGCGGCGCAGCACGTGCGAACGAAGACAGGACAATAAACGAGCGGGGAGAGGGATATATAGAAGGAACATGCGGATTTATGGGCGGGTGATCTCTATATATATATATATGTGTGTGTGTATATATATATATATATATATTATATATTACCTCCAGTCTTCTCGCGCGCGAGATGGGGGGGGGGGCGCTGCTCCCGGGTGCAGCCAGGTGACCGTTCGCGCAGGCAAGCGCACGAGAAGGGCGGGCGCAGGATAGATACATGGGGATGACAGAGGGAGATATATTCCCTCCAGCCACGTTAACTGTCCGAGAGGAGGGAGGGCCGTTTTCTGGCGACGACCGTGAGCACAGCCGCAGGCTCTCCGCCCGCGTCGAGGGTCACTCCAAGGCGCGGGGTTGGCACCCGAACGACCCTCCGACTGACGGAAGGGCCGGTGGGGCGCGGCTTCATTAAAACGAGATGTGGGGTGGGAGGTGGAAAAAAGCACAGCTCTAAGCACAGAAGGCTGCGGAAGAGGGGAAAGGAAGGAGGAGGGGGAAGCCTGAGCACTACGGCCTAGGGGGGAATATAACCGTTTAGGCTTTGGCCAAACGAAACCATATTCCCTCCAGCCACGTTAACTGTCCGAGAGGAGGGAGGGCCGTTTTCTGGCGACGACCGTGAGCACAGCCGCAGGCTCTCCGCCCACGCCCGTACCGGGCCGCTCCCTCCGAGAAAAAGGCCCCCCCCCTGCGCGCCACGCGCGCGGGCGGCTGGAGCCCGGCAAAAAGGAGGGGGTCGATCGCACGACTAGCCGCGAGCCGGCTCCCCAGCCAAGCTCACCCCGCGCAAGACCCTGGGTGCCAAGCGCACTAATCACAGTAGCGCGGCACCGCAACTAGCTGCAGCTGCAGAGGGGTAACGCGAATACTAGAAACAGTATTGCGGAAAACAGAAACCGCACCTCCGGGGGCACTGCGGGGCGGGGCTTACAGCAACTGGGCACCGTCGAAAACAGCGGGTTCCCCCAGATTGGAGCCCGAGGGGTTCGCAAGGCCGCCAGCTTGGTGCCAGCTGCTTGCGGGAAACAGGCATACGGTGAGGGGGTAACACCCCTCCGCTTACTCATGCTACGGCCAGCCCGCCATGGCTTCCACGGGCATCCCCCCGCCCCAGCTTTCCGTCCCGCCACCGGGCGGGGCGGGGAGGGGGCTCGCGCGGCAGGAGGACAAAGCTGCTCCCGCTGGGACTCCTCCGGGTCAGCCGCGCGCGTGGTATTCTTCCGGGGGCTCCTCCCGGAACTTGACCCGCTCCCCTTCCTTCTCGGGTGGGGTCTGCCCCAGGCGGTTCGAGCTTCCCAAGGTGAGGTTGTAGTTCTGGGCGGACATCGCCTCCGAGAGGCTTTTCTGGGGTTCGTGCGCCTCCCGGAGGTACGCGTGGAAGGCGCCCGACCTCCACCTCCCGAACCGCTTGAGCCGCTCCAGGTCTGGTATGGCGTGGTACATAGCCGTGGCGCCTCCGATCCTCAGGGAGTGGCTCCCGATGTGCGAGGGATGTATCCCCGCCGCCTTCGCCGCCTGGCCCAAGAGGTCGGTGATGTCTTTCCGCCGGATGGGGTTCCCATCCCCGTCTCGGAAGAGAGGGGGGTCTCCCTCCGAGGTCCACCGCTGGGGCGCCAACCTCTCCAGCTCGGCGAGGGCTCCGACAGGGCAAAGGGGGTTGCCCGTGGCGTAGTGGTTGCGGCAGCATCCGAAATTGTACTAGTCGGTCTTGCTCCCCTTGATGTAGATAACCACCTCGTCCGCGGACGCGAAGGTGGGGCAGACCGCGCCCTCCCTCCTCGGGGTGGCATCTCTCCCGAAGAGGACCCGCTCCGCCGCCCAATCCCTACCCCCGGAGGTGTCGGCGAGGTACTCGGAGGCGCGCAACATAAAGAAGAAGGCGGTGGTGAGGGCGGCCCAGGCGGCCGCGTCTCCTACCCTCCCGGTGTCCAACTTTCCCCTTAACCAGTGCATCGTCTCAATGGTGACAGGGTACTTCCGGTTCTGCTTGGCGCCCATCCTCCTTTGCCCCCCCAGCGCCAGCGCGAGCCTGGGGGCCAGCTCCAGAGGGTCCGGGTATCCCGCCGCGATATGATAGTGGCGGACCGCCATCAGCTTTCCCCGGATCGCCCCCTCCGAGCGATGCTGGACGTGGGCCAGGTGGGCGATCCAGTCCAGGAGCACGTCCTCATCCTGCCGCCGGCCCTCCCTCCCCAGCCCCGTGAGGAGCGGACTCCCGCCCCGGGCTTTGAGGAAAAGGCACCGCTGCCTCCATGCCACGGCGTAAGAGGTGCGCGTCCCCTTTGCGAGGTTCCCGAAGATGAGGCTGTCCCGTAGGCGCTCCCTCTCGTCCGCCAGGTGGCCTCCCCCAATCTGGGGTTGCCCCCCCTCCGCCGTCAGCAGAGGGCACTGGGGCCCCGCCTGGGC